GGCTGGGGCTGGGGAGGATCCAAGGCACATCCCAACCTCATTCACACAGTGCCATTTTTTGTCATTACACGTGAAAGCTAACATATGGTGGCACTGTGAAGAAGACAACTTATGGAAACCATTATGCATGTGATAAAAGTGATATATACGGTAGACTATTGCATAGAGTCATTTTTGAAAGCTGATTTGAATGAGAGGACAAAGATTCAAGCACCATTTACACTGCCATTCTCCCACTAAAATAATAGGGTTATGCTAATGAGAATGGCTACTGAATTTCCCTCAAAGAAGGAAAAATCTGTGTCATTACCTTTTCTGCCAATGTCAGAACTGTCCTTGCTTGGATTACAATAACTTGCTCTTCATTTGTCAAGTTCTACAGCAAGAGCAGAATAAAATTATTATCAGACCAAATGACTTCATCTTTTTCCTGAGACTGTTCTTTCACTGAGTATTTTCTAAAATCACAAAACTAAATTAGTATTTTCCTGCATAATTTTGTTTGTTTTGTTTGTGGCCACAATCCAGTACAGAGTTAAGCCCATTGATTTCAATGAGGCTGAGCCTACTTAAGTCTGTTCTGGACTGTGCAAAGACAATTCTTTCTTTTTTTAAGGTGCACAAATATCTCCTTTCTCAAAATTTAGCAGTTGCAGTTTCCTCAATAAACACAAATGGAGACATGGGAGGGTATAAGATTCCCTCATGCTTTGCTCATGGATGCAGAAAACAATATACAAAGATATCAAAGCTAAAGTTATCTCAAATTTTTTGATAAAAGGTAAACATGTTGGTAATGTGAATGTGTGCATTGATTGGCAGAAAAATTAATACTACATATACAGCTATTTGTGTGCATGTGTGTGTGCCATCAAGCTGAGGCTGATTTATGGTGACCCCATACGGTTTTCAAGGCAAGAGACTAACAGAGGTGGTTTGCCATTGCCTTCTTCTGTGTAGCAACCCTGAGCTTCCTTGGTTGTCTACCATCCAAGTATTAACCAAGGCTGTTCCTGTTTATATTCTCAAATCTGATGAAAGTGGTCTAGCCTGGGCTATCCAGGTCAGGGCATTCATGTCTACAATTATTCTAATCCCCAGTTTTCTTCATTGTTGAGCTACACAGTAGTACTTTCTCCCTGTTACATAGTTTCCATTGATTATGCACCTTCTATGGTTATACCCATGGCCAGGAGACGGGTGTCTGGCTTTCTGGCCGGATGAACTGTGGTCTTTTCACTTGTTTTTGAGACCATGCATGAATAGGTCCAAGGAATCTTTAGCAACTTGCACTGGGAGGCTTCAAGCTCAATCCATCAAAAATGATTGACATCAACAGTACAACCAAGTTGCACACCATCGCTTTCCATGGTTTCTAGTTAAGACTACATTTCGTGAGTTTGTATCCATTATATATAAATGTCTGACTTGCTCTCAGTGTCTTCTTAATGATGTTTCTATATTATGATTTACTTCTGTGAAAAATGAATGCGTTTATTGCCCTATACGAACCCCTGCAGCTTCTATTTTTGCTCATTCTATTAGCACTTCAATTCACTCCACCAACATACAACCCCAAGCATTGAGGTTCTTTACCTACAATTTTCCATTCTGCATTTGGAAAATTCTCCATCATTGGCAAAAGGTTCCCACAGATACTATAAGAGACAAGGAGCCTCCAGTACTCTGTGTCTCTTTACTTCTTTCTTCTCATAACATCTAGGTAAATACAATGTATAACATGATGTCACCATACTAAGCACTGGTCTGTCTTTGTTGACAGTGCATGATATCAGATGGGGACCAAGCAAGGATGTAACATCACGTGTTGTGTTTATCTTGAAATTATGAAGAGGAAAGGGGAAAGATGTGGAAAAGCTGCTAGTTCTCTTCCGATGCCAGAGCTACAGTTTTCTACATTCTTCTTCTGGGGAAAGGATGTGAGGGACTACCCAAACTTACAAGCAACACTACCTAAACTTACAAGCAAAAGACAACAAATAACAAAGATGTGTTTAAAGTTACATTGATTTCAGTGTTAGAATGTTAATGTTTCAGTGTTAGAATGCTGACCACTGTTCCCTCTAATCTTCCGATGCCAGAGCTACAGTTTTCTACATTCTTCTTCTGGGGAAAGGATGTGAGGGACTACCCAAACTTACAAGCAACACTACCTAAACTTACAAGCAAAAGACAACAAATAACAAAGATGTGTTTAAAGTTACATTGATTTCAGTGTTAGAATGTTAATGTTTCAGTGTTAGAATGCTGACCACTGTTCCCTCTAAGCTGTGTACCTGAGCATGCACTCATTAACACAGGAAGCCCTGATCAGCAGCCGCCAGAGCCGCACAAGGAAAGTCTTGCACTGCCAACTGCCTATTTTATTTATTTATTTATTTCCTTTTATCTTTATCCTACCCTTCCCGCCGAAGGAAGATTACAGCAGTTATATTCTGATCAGGATGTGAACTGCTCCACTCAGTAAGGGGGCAAAAATTAGAGGGAACATCGAAGAAAATAGCAAAGGATATAAAAAAACTAGAAAGAAAACATGAGTGAGCATGCATTATGAAAAAGCAACTTTTAGCAAAGAACTGCTGTTGCAACATTAGGACAGCTGAACATGTCCTCTATGCTAGTGGCGTGCAAGCATTGGCCTAAAGCCTGGTACTCTCATTCTCAACATTCAAAGGAATAGTGAAAAATAACAGCCCACTAGAACATGCATGACATTGTTAGATGCCAAACTGACAAAAGTACAGAACGTATTAACAGAAACATGCACAATTTATTAAAGGAACATACACTTACGGCGTTATCCCCTAAAATGTCCAATTTTTTCATCAACTCTGCTACTAGTATATCCTAACAAGAGAGAAGTATACAGGGAATGGATATCAGAATAAGGCATGACATCATGTTCAGGGGAAATAATGTATACATGGAAGAATACTGGGAGTACTTACTGTCACACCTTCTGCCTCACAATACACCTGTAGGGGGCTCTTCCCCTCTGTAAAAGGAATGTGATGAAAATTGATAGCTGGCGATCTTCTCTCTCTCTCCTGAAATCAGAGCAAGTTTGCTTAAAGGCTATTGTTTAAGTGTCAGCATAATTAAAAAGAAGATCTCACAAAAGTATCACTCAAACATAAATGAAAATTATGTAGATAATTATGAAAATTATGTAGATAATTGTTTATGCATAAGGAATAGCATTGGCTGCAATGTAGTAGTTATGTAAAGCAAAAGATGTGGCTATCTGATTCTACTATCAGTAGAGCATTTGGTCAGAGAACTTTCCTAAGGCACAGATATTTTGTAGCCCTGAACACAGAGCAAAAATCAGATATTTGACAATTTCCAGTGAAAATGAGAAAACACACGCACACGTTTTAAGTACTCAAAAATACAAATGTTATAGGAAACTCCAGAATCCTGATATTTTTTGTTCTTGGTTCAAATTGTATGTATTCTGGGAGTTATCCAGCCCTTTCCTAATGCTTGCGGAAAAGCACCAGAGTTAGCACATACCCAAGAAATAGTCTTGGCTGATCTTTGGTACATTAAAGGGTGTGCAGCAACTAACTTGTGTGGAAAAAAGTTACCAATTATTTAATGTTGTGTTCAGAAAGTCACACTAAAAACCAGATAAATATGTAATAAATTCAAATCTGTATGCTTTGGACAGAAGGCAATGTGAAGTGTGAGTTCTTCTCTAAAGCTGTCCAAATGATATTTCTTTATAGTTTTCCCACTGGACCAGGTGACAGAATGCAACACTCTCATATTCTCAACACTTTGCAGTTAGTGTAATTCCAAGTTAGGAAGAGGCATTGGCCTCCATGCTCTGCTAGCAGGCATTCTGGAAGCTTCTGTTTGCCCATTTTGGGAAACAAGGATGCTGGATAAGATGGATCACTGGTCTGACCCAAAAGGGCTACTATTAAGTTCTTATATTACACGTGGCTGTTACTCGCTACCTGTGCTGATTCATTGTGCTACTTTTAATTATTGTCCATTCTGAAGATATATTTTGTTAGCCGCTTTCAAGGTTTATATTAGCTGGAAAGTCAAGTATATGTATTTTAATCAAATAAATCAAATAAACATGGTATGGGTGCTTATCTAAGCCAAAAGGCAGTGAAAAATATTTTAAATAAATAAGCATGACCATTGTCTTTTGTTAGAGTGGCTTGATGGCTCTTGGGAATCTTCTGCCAGCTCATGTTCATCTCACCTATCTTTTCCCTTGACCGATTTGCATATGTGCTCAGGAAATGAGAATGATAACAAGGCTTGGAAAGGTTTTTTCAGGATATAAGGCATTACAAAATGCCTCCAGTCAGTAAGTGGTTGAACCATTTCGTCGGACCATTAGTTGTGAGCTCGCATACAGTGCCCATTGCAGTGGTGTAATGCCACAACCACAAGCTTTGAGCTCACGTCACTGTATCATCCCATTTAAAATGAGTTAACGCTACTACATCCAGAACGTCAGTAAATGCAAAACAAAACAAAACACAGATGCAGAAAAGATGGTAAAATAGGAGGTACCACACAATGTTCAAAACTTTTCACACACTGATCAGCATAGTGCTCCCCACCTAATAAATGGTTAAAGTATGATTTCAACTGACATGCAGAAATAGGCTGCTGTTGCCTCACAAAAGAAGCCACTGTGGTCACATTGGTGTACAATGCTCTCTGCACCATGCATAGCTATCTGTATAAGAACATAAGAAGTGTCCTGCTGGGTCAGACCAGAGGTCCATCTAGTCTAGCATCCCACCTCAAACAGTGGCCAACCAATTCCTCTGGAGGCTGAGGCCTTTCCCTGATGTTGCCTCCTGGCCCTGGGATTCAGAGGTTTACTGCCTCTGAACATGGAGCTTCCCCATAGTCACCTTAGCTAGTAGCCACTAATAGAATCAGTAGCCAGTCATGGCTAGTAGCCACTTGCCAAGAATCATGGCAAGACAGAACATCTGTGTGACTCAGTTTGAAAACCTGCAGCATATACTTACTTCGAGTTCTAATATCCTAAATTCCAAGAGCTCATTTTGATCTTTCGCATCCTGAACATCATGTTTTAACCGAGCCTCTTCTATCTCCATTTGTTTTATCTAGAAAAGAAAAGAAAAGAAATCACCCCTTTCCATTGCTTCATACAACTTCCAATAGCTTCTCTCATTGAATGAGCTATAGTTGAAGAGCTGGTATAGTAGCTGCAAGGAAGCTGGGAACTCTCCAATAGAAATCATGCTTCAACCAAGAACTTAGTTACAAGGGGCCCTGTAGCACACATGGTTGGCCTCAATCTTTTGTTGGGGTGGTGCTACAATAATATCAACCTACCTTAGAAGTAAGGAATACTGAACATTATAAAGGCTTAATGTTATTATACCTTTCCTTTCCTTTAATTTGATTAAAGGTCCTTGACTAAAAGCCTTGAGCAGTCAAAAACCCTTCTGTTAAGTAGCATCATCTGGACACAACAGTAAACCAATGGAAAAATCTTGCCGCAGCAAGGGTAAGATTAGAGAATCTGTCAGATAAAAGGAGTAAAATTAGCTTGTGATGAGACAAAGATGAAAAATTATCTAGGTACTGTGTTAAAAACCTATTTCTAAGGCTAATATAAAGAGGACACTCCAACAAAATATGTATTAAAGAACCAATTTTCTCCTGAGAGCAATCACCAAGGCGGTCTGAGTAAGGAATCTTTCTTAATCTTCCCTTCGTAACTAGAGTTTGCTGCACATTCAATCAAGATAATAAGAAAGCTCTAAAATAATTTGGGATACTTAGATAAAAGCATAGGAAGGCAGCAATTTAGGTGGAGGAATAACACAAAATAAAGAAGAACAAACACTGCAGGCATGAGACCACGTGCTCAGGTAATCCCTTCCTTGATATTCTTCTTGATAAAAGCTTTTCTATTGACAAGGGAGTCTGGCAGAGCTGCCTGTTAGCTCCTTGTTATTATAATAAGCTTAAAAATTTCTTTCTGTGGAGTATCTCTCTCTCTGTGTTTGCTCTAGTTAAATTATGAATTATCTGGAAATTCCTTTTCTGTGTGTGTGTGTGTGTGTGTTTGCTCTTGTTAAATTATGAATTATCTGGAAATTCCTTTTCTTCTTCTGTGATTATTTGCACTTTTTTCTTATGGAATTCTGACACAGGATGGTGAGCAGAACCACAAAATGGTTGCTAAAGGACGTGGAGCCACTCACATAGGGTTGCCAGCTCTCACTGGCAGGGGGTGGGAGGGAGCTCTCCAGTAGTGGGGGGCAGGGTGATGTTGCTGCGTGTGATGTCCCCAACATGATGACATCACGTGGAAGTGACGTCATCATGCCAGGGATGTTGCACAGTGACACTCTGGTATTTGGGGCCAAACTCATCACATTGGGGATGTCACGCCGGGTCGTGGCTGTTGGGGGCAGGGCTTCCCCTTGCTAGCCAGCTGGCTTGTGGCAGTCAGGAGCCCGCAAAACTGGGGGGTCCTCCGCTTCCACCTGGGGGCTGGCAAGCAACCCTACAATCACAACATTTCAGGGAGTGAGGTGATGCATAACTCTAATAATAACTCCTCAACAATTCTGGTTGTTATAGACATGGTTTCCTGTTCTGAAAAACACAAAAGGCTCTACATCTGACAATAGCACTACAGATAAGATTAGAATTTCAACAGCCAATCCACATACAAAAGAACCTCCCTAGCTACCGGTACCGAGAAGGTCAGCGCAGGCGCAGTATATCCCAAGGGTGTGATGCACAGAGACCACGAAGAAGATCATCCATATACAAAAGAACCTCCTCAGGAAAGCTCCTCCATTAGGATGTTCATAGCCTGGGGAACGCCTACAAGATAATGACTCGGCTCTACCCCACCTTCTGGAGTAGATATAAACTACCTGCCCACCATTTTTCTTCTCACCTTTACACAGAGTACTCCATCTTTCTGTGTTATACCTCTGAGGATGCCAGTCACAGCTGCTGGCGAAACGTCAGGTTCTACAATGCCAAGACCACAGTCACACAACCTGGAAAATCTACAGCAACTAATTCTGACATAATTTCTATTTTACAGGATGCCTTTTAAAATTATCATATTGTTTAAAAAAAATTTTTTTGCACGCACACAGCTTACCTTCACTATTGCAGTAAAAATTCTTGTGCTGTGGTGGTAGCTGCTTCTGAAGGAACTTTTAAACATTTTTCATAGCCAATCACAACTTCAGTAGCCAATTAGAAGCCCTGCTGGGCAAAAGCCCCACCTGGTTCTCCTCACTTTCTAAAATCATTTAGTGGGTGCCAGGAAAGGTGTTGGTGGGTGCCCACAAGTACTGTTTTGGGGACCCCTGGTACAGACATTTTAAAAATGAGATACTTCGTCACCTTGACCTGGATAGCTCAGGCAAGTCTGATCTCATCAGTTCTCAGAAGCTAAGCAGGGCCGACCCTGTCAAGTAATTGGAGGAGAGACCTCCAAGGAATACCAGCACTTGAGACGCAGGGGCAGGTTATCAAGCCACCTCTCTGAAAAACATCCAAGCCCTCTGTAGGGGTCATCAGAAGTCACCATGACTTCCAGGCATGCAAGAACATACACACACGCATGCACACACAAATACCCACCCAACCAAAAAAGAGATACCTTGTCGACAAGTTCCTGGTTTCTTCTGTACAATGCCTGCTTTTCATCAATCCACTTCATGTCCTTGAAAAATAAAATACTGTTGTTACAGAGATAGCTGGTAGGAGGATCCATAGTTTAAAAATGACTAATGTTGACCGGGTGCCATACAAGGGACAAGAGTTCACACGGTAGAACTGGGAGTAGGGTTCCTTCTTCCTGACTATGCTGCAGCAATGCCCAGTGCTCAAAAGACAAAACACTTTAAAAACTCTACGAGGCTTGTCTCTTCAGCAGCAGAAACAGTTGCAATGAAATGAGATTGCAATGAAATGAGATTGCAATGAAAACAACTGCAATGAAATTTTTGAGAGGAGGTGTACATCACTTTGGAGTTTCTCTTCAGTTAGTGATATGTCCACCAAGCATAGATTTACTAAAGAGTAAATAGGGCTGAAATCAGAGGACAACACCAAAAATGAGGGACACAATCAAAGACAAGGAAGGCTCAGCAATGCTAAGAAATACAGGCTCATAGACCTGCCAAACTTGAAGAAGAATGGTTTTGGAGACTGGCATATCAAATGAAAGAGATTAAATATCGAGCTAGCCTCTCAATATACAACCCAAGCTAAGAGACATATTTTTGGACCCCCGAGGGGGATTTATTTTATTACATTTTTCTAAAAACTACAAATCTACAACGAAAATGAGGGAAGGGAACTACAATTAGGGATAAAGAAAAGAAAACCCACTACTATCTAAAATCCCAAGAGAGGAGATCCTCGAAATCTCTTAAGTACAAAGTCAGTTCTAAACTCGCAAACAATTTTTTGAACTTAGTCAGGTCTGCTATTACAACTTTTGAATCTTAAATTAACTGTTAAAAATAAAAACCCCAGAGCATCTCATTACAAGCAACCCTTTTCAAAGGCACAATACAGAGTCCTTCAGCCTTCATTTCTTCTTATCCTGTCTTCTTCGCAGTTTATAAGAACTTTTAAGAGCCGCTGCTCCCCTCTCTGACATAGAGTCCTCTCCAGAAGACCCCAAGTCCAGCTCGCCACTGGACTTACTGTCCTCTTTATCACCTTTCTCTTGCTCACCCATCTGGATTCTCAAAAAGTCCCGTGCTTTGGAAATAGAGTCAATCTTTTCCTTTTTATCTTGAAGTTTGAAGGTTACGCCATCTGGATACAGTCAGCTGATTACGTTTGTTTGAAGAAAAAGGATTAAATCTTTGTATTTCCTTCTCCTTTGTCTTATTTCAAATGGAATGTCTTTAAGGATCCTGATGGTGCTGTCCCCAATTTTCAAGGTTGTCCCTGTCGTCGCTCTCAGGATAGTATCCCACACATGTCTCTTTGAGAATCTCATTACTATTTCCCCAGGCAGATTATTCTTTTTTATATATACGGAATATGACCTATCGGCCACATCCATTTCGCTCATCAAGTACTCCGCCGTCAAATCTGTCACTGGGGCTAATGCTTCGCTCAGCATTTGCTTCAGATTCTCTCCTTTAGATTCTGGGACACCCTGGAATCGGAGAACCAAGTTTGCCTTCTCCATTTGCAGCTGTAAAAGTTGTTCTTCTTTGGAGACTTGCTTCTTTTCCAATTTTTGTACCTTTTTCTTCACCTTTTGAGTAGTGGCATCAATTTCTTTCACCTTCTCAGCTGTTTGCTCTGTAATTTTAAGGGTCTCATTCACTTGTGCTTGCTGGGTGGTGATACATTTAGTCATTGTAGACAACTGTTTCTTGACGTTAGTCATCTGTTCCAGCAGGGGGCGCAGAGATTCTGCTAACATTTTAGCCAGCTCGGTGGTTTCTTCCAGTTTTGGACTCTCCCCTTTTGCTTTTAAAAGTTTCTCCTTCTCCATCCTCTTCCCCGCCATCTTTTATCGATTGTTTACTTTCGCCGCAGTTTCTAAAGTCTCTGAATGTGCGCTCAAACACTCATACATGCCTTGGTAAGTTTTTCTCAACAGATTTCAACGCTTTCGCTTCCGCTCCCCCCGTTTTTTTGCTTAAAAGTTCATGCGCATGGGAGGAGCCCCTCCCCCCACTTGTTTCATTTCTCAGTCCGTGGGGTGGGGAGCTTTCTTTTTAAATTTTCAAAGACGCTTTATTCTGACTCACGTTCATATTGGTCTTCCGACCTCGCTTAGTCTCTAATTCGACCGCTTGATCCCCAGCTCTTGTCCCGGTCAGCATCACTAGGTTCCATACGGACACTCGCAGGAGGGACCATCGGGGCGAAGAGGCACCTCAATTCCCCAGCATCGCGCTGGTGAAGAGGCGACCTCTCAAAAGCCCCATGGCTAGAAGCCCTTCGCCGGGCCTCTTGGGGGGCAACGAGCCTGCGTACCCCCTCCCTCCCGCTCATGCGCAGCTCGCATCCCCGGGAGGTCCGGGAGATGCGACTGCTCAGCGTGCCGCCATCCACCGGAAGTCAGCTAAGAGACATTTAGAGGTAAATCATGAAAAGTAAGTTTGTTCAAGCTGAGCTCATCAGATTAAAACAGGAAACAACATATATTAATGATATGTTTGGACTGTGTGCAAATTCATCTAGATGGCTGATTTTAAGACTGATATTGATGTATTCAAATTCTTTAATCAATGCAAATGCATAAGCCTGCAGATCAGGAAACGCCCCCAGAGGTTGCTGCCATTGGCACAGTATTCACTTAGTATCACAAAGGTAGGACATCATGGCTCAAGATCCTTATCTTTAGTTCCCATTGTGCTTCCCTTGTTCTTACTATTAGATTAGCCTTACATATAACATCAATATTTATACCTTAGCCACATCTGCAGTAGAACCAAACTGGGTTTACTGGGTTTTATATCGAGCCATGATGTCTCCTTGAATCAGGTTAGGGCTGTAGTGGATCAACCTTTTCAATCAACATCACATTCTCCAATGTAAATTGTTTCCTGGAGTTGCTGTTGTCATATCAAGGAAATCTGGGGCATATCACAGCTCTAGAGGTAGAGGGAGGATTTTAATAGAAAATCGGAATGGGAGAAAAGGGCTAATCCCCCAGTGATGTGATTCACATCTAACTGCACACTAGGGTTGCCAGGTTGGAGGGACTTACAGGAGTGGGAGGGGGGCCCATGCTATGTTGCCGGCAATGTGGCAACGTCACTTCTGGCACATACCAGAGATGTGATGTTATCGCGTTGGGATGTCGCAGTGATGCTCTTGTGTTTGGCAAAAGCTCTATGGTAAAAATGGCTTCTACCATAAAGTTTTTGCCCAAATCTCAGAGCATCGCCAGGATGTCACCGACACGATGACATCCCTTCCAGTACACACTAGAAGTAATATTGCTATGTCATTGGTGTCATAGCCTGGGCCTCCCTCCCACTCGGCGGACAGGGCCCGGTGGTGAGGGATTTTCCACTCTCAGCAGGGGACTGACAACTCTACTGCCGCCCAAGTTTGCTATGGCTTTGAGCTAACACAATAAATCAAACTGAATGCTCCCCAAGATACTTTTAACTTTTAAACATCTTATAAGGAAATATAATCTTGTATACTATGGCCCTTCTAATGACGTTTTAATTTTTTTTTTTTATAAATTTATGGCAGTGAGGACTGCATATCTATGATGTTCTTGTCCTATAGTATATTACCTGTCCTTGCTCAGCAAGTGCTTTTTCTAGATCTTCTATTTGAGTTTGGGATCGGTGGATTTCTGCTTGAAGCTGCTCACGAGTCTGTAGGATGGGATTGAAGAAACATCAAACTTTCTCTGATAGCTATAACAAATACAGTACTGTGTTATTAATCTGAATGGCCTGACGGACATTGTAAGCATCTAAACATTCACAAGTTTGGATAACTGGAGTTGCTATTCATATGGGCCTGGCCACATTCATTCATTTGTCCATCCCTGCCAATGGCATCCAGTGCTGTGGAGTATTGGGGGAAGGGGCATAGTAACATTACTAAATGTTAGGGAATGGAGAGGGGAATTTTACACGAGAGTGCCATTTTTGGCAGCACCCCTGTGTTGATCATAGTTCTGTACTAGATATCTACGGGTTTCCCCCATCCCCCCCCCCCTCTCTCTCTCTCTCTATATATATATATATATTAATCTCTTCTAAATTTGAAACCAATTTTCTGGTAGTGAACTATAATTGTTTGCATATATTCTAATGTACTGTGAAGTATATTCTCCCATATCACTGAGTGAAAAACTGGTTCTCCCATATCAGGGATTATGGAATAGCATAGGAGAGAAACTGATTCTACCTATTTTATGATAACAAGTGTGCATTTATACAGCAGAGATCTTATAAGGTGACCTCAAGGAATGCTGACAAGGGTAGCAGAATTTCAAATCTTCAAGCTATTCTATTAGGAAAATGCATAATTTTTTTTAAAGGAAGAAAAGCTATAGTAATTTAGCTTGTGGCCATTTTATACTCAAAGATATTGCTAGGAGATTTCCATAGTAAGAGAATGTAATATTACAGTTTTCCTGTATCTCCACTTTAAGCAGATGAGGCATATGAAAATATAAGTGCACCAGATGTGGTACCTGCCCCCCCCCCAGTAATCTGCCACTTCAGTGCAAGAGTGGAAAATACAGCTGCTTTGACAGAGCATAAAGTTGAGCGCATCAGATTGCTCAGAAGGTGCATTATGAATGCAGAGCAGACACATTATGGAAAGGTCAAGAGGCATATTCAACTTCCTTCTCCCTTCAAAACTTCCCTTTCCCTAAAATATATCACTGACAATTGAAGTAAAAGTGGGGCAAAGAGGGGAGCAACTTGGTGTGGAAGAAATTCTCTACAAGCCATGAAAAGTCATTTAGCTTTGTTTCTGAGCTACAGCTCACTGCTATATATAATTAAAATTTGTTTGGCTTCCTTCTGAAATTTCATTTTTAAAAGATTCTCAGTTTGTATGCTGTGAGATGGCTGACGTCTTCATTATAGGTTCCCCCATGACACAGTAAAATCCAAAAAAGTGTGAGCCTGCAGTTCTATCTACTTTTTAAAAACCTTTGTTTAGTACCCAGAAGGGCTGCCAACTCTGTGTGGGAAATACCTGGAGATTTGGGGTGGGGGTGGGTAGAGCCTGTGGAGGGCAACGTTTGGGGAGGCACCTCAGCAAGATTTAATGCCATGGAGTCCACCTCCAAAGCAGCCATTTTCTCTAGGGGAACTGATCTCGGTCATCTGTCGATCAACTGAAATAGAGATATCCAGGTGGCACCTGGAGGTTGGGACCCCTAGTACCAGGATCTGGTTCAGCTGATTTTAGTTATGATCCCACTGAAAGAATGAAACCCCAAATTGTTACAACGGGTTAGCAACGACTTACTTTAGCTATACTGGGGGTCATTTATAGATGCTTATCCAGTAATAAATGACAACTTTTTAGTTTATAAATGTAAATCTTCTGCTGGTGTTTTCTTAATGGTGTGGGAACTGCCACAGGGCCTCTCTTTTCTGCACTGCTCTGCTGACTGCTCTGGTCAGAAATCTAAGATGAAACAAGAGGAAGTGACAGCTGGGCTCCTTACCACATAAACGTCACCCTCCCCAGGCATAAGCAGGGCCGCCACCAACCCTCCTAGGTTAGTCGGGAGTTTACTGGAATCTGCCTCATTCTCCTGAAAACTACTGAGAATGACCCAGGAAACTTTAAGTAAACCTGCCCCTGCTTCATGCCAACACTTCCCATTTCTCACTGCCTATTCTCTACCTCTTCCCTGGAACATCCAGGGCTCCTTACCTTCTCATTCATGGGGCTGAGGCAGGAAGGAGTATTTGCTTCTTTATTTACCTTTTCATTATAGCTCGCTTTTCTCCCTCATGGGCACCCAAAGTGTCGACATCCCATTGTTCTCCTTTCCTCTACCTTCTCCTCACAACAGCAACCTTGTAAGTTAGGCTGAGAGACTGTGACAGGCCTGCAAGCTTCGATGGCACAGCTAGGATTCAAAACCAGTTTTCCCAGGTCCTAATCTGACACTCTAACTGCTATGCCACACCAGCTCTCAAAGTAGGGAGGTGGCTCCTAGGGTTGAAAGGTGGCAGCAGTGGTGGTGGAGGAGGGAGGGAGGAAGGGAGGAAGGGTGACAGCATGGTGATGGTGATCCCCTGGAATACCTTCATTTAGAGTTGGCAGCCCAATTCCCAGTGCCCGTGTGTGAAAAGGAACTGGGCCCTAGACACCTCCCATGTAATTTTGGTCTGTTGATGTTATCAGAGCAGTGCATGAAGGCTACACTATAAAATGGCTCCCATGCTCCTGGAGCAACATCAGGAGGAGCCCTGTGATATGCCAACATATGTATATAGGTCCTTTGCTAGGGTAAACATAAGAGATCAGTTTAAAGAATGTTTTGGTATTTCACACCAACAAAGAACTGTGGAACTATAAAAAGTAACCTGTATGTGGTAAAATGGGAGAAGACATTACACAGATACAAGCCTTTATTGTCATGTAATATAAGCCATGTAGACCTTAACTTCTCGTTCTGCATCCAACGTTCCTCCAACCTGTTCTTGCAACAGAGCATACGCCCTCTGTAAGGCCTGATATTCCATGGTCAACTGCCGGAATCTCAGTTCTGTTTCTTCTTTTGCCATGCCCTACAGTATAGCAAAAAACACTTTACAGTGAACTGTATATTATAATCCATATTATCATGTTGTATATTATGATTATGCATATTACGATCTATCTGCCTCCATCTCCCTACCTATCTATCGCTGCTCATACAACAATAGCCTTTAGCCGAAAATAAAATAAAGTAACACATTTAGTATATTATTATGATCAATGGCATTCATAAACAACATTTAACAGTAGAAGAATTAATATTTTGGTAAATTTACACAAATCAGTTCTGCATTGTAATGTGGTTAACAATATGATTTTATGAAGCATCTGTTCCAGCACACCCAATGTATGTAGCTAAGAAAAAACCCATGAAGCACAATCTAAAATGCCCCCCAGACTGGTTCAAGATGGACCCTAACTGTCCCAAATTACCTCTTCCAAGTCATCATCAGGTGTGCAGGGCGTCTGATCTGTTCGGTCAGTTTGATATGAGATAGAAGAGCCATCGGATTCAAGGGAAGCTTCTTCATCATACCCAAAAAATGTCTCTACCACTGGCTTCTGACGAAATGAGAATGTGTAAGTGCAAGCAACAGAACGATGCAAATACCCTCCCCCAGCCTTTCTAGGCAGATCTCACTGTACCATCAAACTCTTACAACACTACTTAAAAATCCCACCTCCCGGGATACATACTAATACATAGGAAACTCTGCCAGATAAAAGATGTATGCAAACATTATTGATCCATCAGACAGAATCTATGGTGAATCCTGTTTCCTGATCATCAACACATTTCAGTTCTGGATCTGATGAAAAGGCCACTGGTCCACAAACAATTCTGCCATGATAAATCTGTTTTTGCTGCAGCAGATTAATACAGCTACACCCCTCACCCCAACATTTCATATGTGTTGGTAAACCAACTGAAGATGCAGCCATACTTAATGTAAACATCATAATAAACGAGAACCAACATCATCCTTCTACCATTGCTAAAAAGTAGCTTCCTCTGCATAACAAGAGTGTGCCTGTGGATGACTTGTGTGCTTTGGTTCTGCTTCTTTCAGTAGAACCTGTGAGCACTGAACTGTGAGCTCTAAAATTCACTGAAACCAGCTCCCCCTCACTGGTAGTCTTTAAGCAGTGGCTGGACATACACTTGTCAGGGATGCTCTAGGCCAGTGATGGCAAACCTTTTAGAGACCGAGTGCCCAAACTGTGACCTAAACCCCACTTATTTATTGCAAAGTGCCAACACGGCAATTTAACCTGAATACTGAGGTTTTACTTTAGAAAAAACAACTCATACATTAACTTAAGATGATCCAAACAAAGTAGGGAATGCAATCCCAAATGCTTTAATTTACTTAAAATTATTTGGCAGAGAATTCAACACTTTAATGATGGTCTGGGCCTGGCTGGGGCGATGGCACGTGTGCCCACAGAGAGGGCTCTGAGTGCCACCTCTGGCACCCGTGCCATAGGTTCGCCACCACTGAACTAGGCTGATCCTGCATTGAGCAAGGGGTTGGACTAGATGGCCTGTATGTATGACCCCTTCCCACTCTGTGATTCTATGATTCTAATCTGTGATTCCATGACACAGATTTTAGATGTTTTGTGTGATCTTCTTGAATGCTAACAATAGTGCTGTCCCCCCCAATAATCCTCTAGTTGTTAATATTATCCAATAATATCTTTACATAAGATATCAAGTGGCTACATTTAAAAAATGTTTGTCTATGAAGAGCAACTGGACATGATAGCTAAATTAAAAGATCCATGGTTAAGAGGAAGATCATTCTCAATGTCAGATGCTCAGGGTGAAGGACAGGGGAGGGTTGTTGTTCGATGGTGTTTCTGAGCTCTCTGGAAACATCTGGCTAAGTGCTGTTGGAAACAGGATGCTGGACTAGATGGAGCCTTGGTCTGGTCATAAAGGTCTCTCATGACATTCTTAAGTATGTCTTAAATAATTCAACTTATTCTCTCACCTTGGGAAATTTTGCAAATTTCTTCTTTTGTTTCCTGTACCTTAACAGCTTATCGCGTTCCTGCAAAAAGAAGTTATACATATTTGCTTGAGCTCTACAAAGGATGTAAAAATGGAACAAAAGAGATCAAAATACAGCAATTTATTGAAGTAATTATCTAGTAGTGTCAAAAATGTATTTTCAGGAAGAGCAAAATTGGAACTGAATTTAGCATTCTGGTTGTACAGATCGTCTGTCATGCAAATGATCACAGGTCATCATCAGTGCTAAAAAGATTATTTTGAAATTTTGTGTTATCTTTACTCTGAACCTCTTGCTTTGTGGGGAGGTGGGGAATGGGAATTCTGATGCCTGTGCCTATGATTAAAAGCCTTGTGCTAAAACTGCTCCCTGAATATTAAAAGAAACAGAAGGAAAAAACCTTCCCCATGGTGTAGATGCTAACTAGAATCACTTTGCTATTAATACATGGAATCATTACACATTACAGCTGTGCTATATGAACCCAGGGAGATGTAAATTAATTCAGACAACAAGAGACATCCAATATATTTGCTACTTACTAGTACGCTCTTTACATAGCCGGCAGTTTCTAGGGTCTGTTTTAAAAGAATGAAAACTACATGTTAGATGCAAGTACGCTTTGTTTTGTTGTCTCCTGCAGCATATCTTCTGCAATAGGTATTATGGCTTTTTTATTGTTGTGTTCTTCCAGTGGTTTGGATCCAATCTCCCCTGTCCTTGCATAAGCTTAAGGCACAACACCTGCACCAAAGAAGGTCCATGTTTTCCATGGATTTCTCTCTACAGCTGCAGTTTCCCCCCAGGATATACCAAACTTATCTCTCCTTATATATAAAAGCATTTTGGGGTGGCCAAGCTCAATGCGTGGCAAAATCAGTTGGCGGCCTGAACCACCACTCAGAAGGCGCTGCTGCCATTGGCTGGGTGTGTGGTGGGCTCAGCCCACAGAAGCCCCAGCCAGCCTCTCTCCCTCAGCCTACAGGGGACGCTGGATGGGATGTACCCTCCGGCAGGTGGAGGCAGTGAGGCATTCACGTCTTTACTCCCTATGTGCCCAATGGCGGCGGGGAGGCAGGAGGATGGCCTTGGTCAGCCTCGCCATGCCCTGCCGCCGCCCTCGGGATCCAGCCAGCCTGGACTGCGCTGCTCCCGCCTTCTTCCTCACCACACTCTGGACGCGGCCTCCTTTTGCCTCCCTCCCGTGCCCAGCCAATCAAGCGAGGCCGGCAGAGAACTGGGCCCCGGCCAGAGGGGGTGGGACGAGGGAGAGAAGATGGCAGCTCCTTGCCCTACCTTGCTCTCGCCTCCTCTCTGCCGGCGCCGACGTCACCTCTGCATGGCCCGCTGAGAGGATGGAAGGGAGGGAGGGGCGGTGGACAGCCAGGAGGGAGGAAAGTGCCCAGCACCAGTGCCACCTTTGCCCCAGGGATGCTGCACACTGGTTGGGGGCACCGCCGAGGGGAGTAGCCCAGTAGAACAGCCAGGTGGTGCTGAGAGCAGGGGAGAGAGTCTTGGCCGCAAGGAGAGAACCTCAAGAGAAAAGGCTCCACGGAATGAGGGGAAGGCCACGGTGGAGGCGCCCTGCAGCCCACTGGATGCGGCCAGCCAGGGAGCCACTGATGGCCCATGCAGTCGCCCCTTGACACCAGGGTCTCCAGAGGGGGCAGGAGACACTGGCCTGGGCCTCTGTGTGCTTGGAGATGGCCTGAGTAGGGAGTCGCCACCAGGGCGTCCCCTCGCCATGCCACCCCCCGGGGTCCGACGGGTAGAGAGTGGGGGGCCAGGGGGGGAGACCTCCCGCCTTTCTAGAGATCATTGCACTGTTGCTGCAACGGGCCTTGCTCCTAGTATATTTATATATTTATTTGGAAATATGATTTGCTGGCTCTCCACAGACCTGCTTGAGGCAGCTATCACTTAAAACAATAAAACAAAAACATGAGATCACAGCCATCAAAAACAAGCCTTTGAAAAACAAGAAGCCAGTGCATAAAAACAGTACAACTAGGCTTGGCAGCTTGCCTGATATGGGAAGGAAAAGGAAGGAGAGGGGGAAATGGCATTTTCCTTTTGCGAATATAGAAGGTGGCAGTTAATCAACTGCCTCCCATCGCTATATGGAGCACACAGGTCCCAAGGGTTGCCAGCTCCAGGCTGGAAAACCTTTGGAGCTTTAGGGTTGGAGCCTGGGGGTGGCAGGATTTGGGGAGGGGGAGGGACCTCAGCAGAGTATAATGCCATAGATTCCACTCTCCAAAGCAGCCATTTTCTCCATGGGAGCTGATCTCTACAGTCTGGGGATTGGTTGTAATTTCAGGTCAGCAACCTTACTTGTAAGGCAGACAGCAGAAGGAAAGCATAGCAGGTTTTATATATATTTTTAAACAAGATGGATTTTAATTTAAGGCAGTAGGGAAAGGAAAGAGTCAAAGGAAGCAAACTTGGCTAATATTACTTAAAGGCTGGATGGCAAGCAAGCCCTGTAAGCAAAGTCCCATTTGAAGCACTCCTGTTATTATTCATCTGATAACTCTACCCCTCCTCCCACTTCCCTTAACCTGCTTCCATTATTTCCCCCCTCCTCTATCCTTGGCTGCAGTCAGATGTGCAGTTCGATACACTGTTGCCCCACTTCTAATTGATCCAGGGTATTTTGTAACAGAGAATACTGATTACACTCAGCCTTTTTAGCACTCTTCAAAGTGCTTTTAACCATCCTTGATCAATCAGATGCAGCAGCCAGGAAGTGATGCCGTCAGCCATTGTTTTTAAAAAGTTTGTCCTTTGAGCATGCTCACAAGCACTGATAAGCCTGCTGGGATATGTAGTTCATGGGGCGATTGGCCATTTTTTTTAAAAAAAGTGTGTCCTCTGAGCATGCACACAAGTGCTGATGAGCCCGCTGGGATATGTAGTTCACTGACGTCCTCTCTCGCTATACTTTTCAATTAACCCCTTCCCCAAAGCACAGAAAAAAGCTGAAGTACAGAGGCGTCTTCCATTGAAAGTTTTTATAAAGAAAACAAAGTTTTGAACAGCCCCTGTGGAGGGGGAGAGAGAGAAAGAGATACAAATATGCAGTTATGCGCATATCAATAGCTAGTAAAAAATGGTGACTGGAAAACAAGAGACCACTCAGACCTGCCTGATGGCTTGGGTGCACAACAGAGTGATCAGACAACAGGAAATCCATTTTGGAACCAGCTCAGACCAACTGGAGCGGACTTTCACAGCTATCAAAGAAACACACAGTAAAGGGGGGGACGGGATGCAGACAACTGGGGCATGACAGACAGAAGTTGCTGTCTGATCATGCATTTTAAATCCATAAGGGAACAGCAATAGATCAAACTGCTGATGTGATCACAGCCCTTGTCTCTAACAACTTGTTGTGGGCTGTCTGCCTTCACTCACAAACCCAATTCAGTCACTGTTTTTCCTCCCAGAAATGAAGCAAGGCCCTTAGGCCTCAAAGATTGCTCTACATATTGCGGAAGATGAGTGAGAAAGATTTTCCTTACCTTTGAAAGTTCATCTATGAGGTTTTGCTGTTCCATAATTTGTAGCCTAAGAAAGTCAACTTCTCTATCATCTTGACTGTGATCAAGGTCATTCAAAGAGCTTGGCCTCCGTATTATCCTCACCCTTTGCCTCTAAAGTGAAGTAACAGGACAGATACCAAGAGACTGGTAACTCACTCCACATTTTTTATGAATAAACTCATTTTTAAAATTAGATTGACCAGCAGGATGCTGGAGGCTGAGTCACAGGGTGAAAGGATTAGATGCTAATGCCAGGATTCATATTATATTTGTCAGCATTTATGAATGCTACCCATGTGCTTCCTTGTCCATGTGTTTCTCAGTCCATACCATGTAGTGTAAACGAGAGGTAGGGTTGTCAAATCCAGTCTGGGAAAATCCTGTAGATTTGGGGATGGTGCCTGTGGATGGGGGAGTTTGGGGAGGGAGTTCACCTACAATCTATGATATACCATAGAGTACACCCTTTGAAGTTGCTATTTTCTCCAAGGAAACTCCTTCAACACTTCTAATTCTGGGAGAACTTCTGGCCTTTGCATTACATTGCACAATCAATCAGATGCAAGTCAGAATAAATCATCAGCACCCTTTTCAACAGAGATAATAGTAAGCTTCAAATGTCTTACTTTTTAAAAAGCCCTTGTAAATACTGAGTTGCATTCTTGTTTTACATACATTCATCTGGAAACTTACCATTTCTAAATTCTCCTGTGTAACAAATTTTAATTTATTCTCCATACGACGCAAGGCATGGGACAAATCCTCATTCTTCCTACTTAGGCGCCTGTTTTTGTCTAGCAGCGGTTTGTACTGACTTTCTGCTTCTCTTAGACGTTTCAGCTGAAAAAAGAACAACAAATTATTTGCACAGAAGTAGCTGTTCTGATTGCTCTCCAAAATCACATGCATTCAGGGGGCTATTGTTGGTGCTGGTGAGCAGAATCCATTGCTTATACAAGGGGCCATCAGCAGCCACGACTGTTACACCTTTTAAGCCCAACAAAATCACCAAATGTCTAAAAATTGGAAGGGTGCAGCTTTGCTTAGGATGGCACTGTTAGGGACTAGAACAAGACAATTTCCTCTTCTCCCTCCTCTCCCCACCCATACCTTTTAACTGGCTTTCGACTGCCCTGGCGTTCTCTGAATCCTCAAGCTCAGTCCTCACCAGGCTGTATGGGTGGGTGCGTTTGTGTGTTTCTAATTTACAAAACAATTTTTTTTCTGTATACACAGGGAGTTCTCCCCAGTATACATGAACCTCTGCCTTACCCGTGATTGGTCCCATTTCACATAGTGTTCTATTGATAGCACTCAGTCATGATGTTTGCTGTTAGAGGGAACAAGCTGGGTGCCCTGCAAAGAACCACACCAGGGGGAAACAAAAGCTTACCCTCCAGGATTCAGTAAGGTCTCAGAGACTTGAGCAGGCTTATTTGCGCATGTCCCCTTTAACTTGGCCACTGTCAACATTCCATGTTCCTGGAGCAAGCTTAGTCCTTATCAGCCTCATTTGGAGTCCTCTCCCTTTAGGTTAATTTACAGTCATATTTTCCCGGGAATATCTGGAACCCCCCGGGTGACCTAGTTTTGTTGCTTATCATAATGGTACTCAGCTATCTAATTTTTAGACATGATGGCAGACAGGAGACCTGGGGGGGCGGAGAGAAGAAATAACCTCACTCCCATCTCCGCCTCCAGGATTCTCTAAGTAAATTGAGCTGGCTAAGGCCTACTGTAAACGTGACACTGGTAAGGCATAGAGCTTCCACACATGATTTAGCCTGAATCCTATTTAAAACCTGCTGTAGGTGATATGAAGTAGTTCAGTATTCCTCCCACCCCATTTCTGACTCCGCCCCCTAGATTTTCCTCATTTAAAGGGGCCTTCAGGTCACCGTTACGTGTGTTCAGGGGTCATTTGCTGCAGGAGTGCACAGGAGCAGAGCTCCGGCAGTAAAGAGCCCAAGGGGCGGGCACATGCAACAAGCCCCACCCTCTGCTCCCAGCAGCCCTTAATCAGAGCAAGAAGCAGCCAGGTAAGTTGCAGAGCTTCCCCCGGCTCCCCAGTCCCAAACAATCCAGTGGCACCTTTAAGACCAAGTTTTATTCAGGTACAAGCTCTCCCTCCTCTGCAAGGACAGATCTGCATGTTCCCCCCCCCCAATTCTTAGCAATCCAAAACAGTCCAGTGGAGCCTGAGCGGTGGGTGTAGCCTTCTGACATACTTCTGGTGATGTCAGGGGGTGTGGCATATGCAAATAAGTTATGCTAATAAGTTATGCTAATGACCTCCTGCACCTCTTTTTCTACGAAATGACCCCTGCGCGTGTTTATTATGCTGCGTAGTGCGTGTTTATTATGATGCGTAGTTTGGTCTTCAAAGTGTATGTTTTGGCAGACCCAGAAGTAATTGATGAATTATACACAAAAATATTGGGTCAGTGCCAAAGCTTCATATGGTTCTGATGATCAGCGTCATGTATGCATGAGCTTCCCTTTTTAATCTATAAGGGGAAATGTTCCGTATTGTATGCCACCACATTCTTCCTTTATAGGATGGAAATAATATGGAAAGCTCAGTGGGTGCACTAGAATTGTTGGGTCATAGCAAATGTGTTATCCAACAGCTTCCAAGCCTAACTCATCAACAGTTCATGTCTTGATTCCCCCAGTAAAAATTATAAAAAAAATTTAAACAAATTTTGCATTAATCCTGAAAGTTTTAAATATATGTGTTTGTATTCAAGTGGCTGTTTCTTGCTGTTAGAAGGGCATTTCTGCTGGCATCCCCAGCCACAGTTTCCCACTCTGAGGAACTGAGGAGTAATAGAAAAAAGGGCCCCCACAAAGTGATGCTTTAGGAATTTCCTCTAATCTCAGTAGTAAAAACCATAGCGACTAGGGGAGGCAGCCTAGAGCATCAGACGGAAGTGATATTGTATCCTCTCCAAACTCTACCCTTCCCAGGCGCCCCCCCCCCAAATCTCCAGGCATTTCCAAGGCAGCGTTGGGAACCCTAGGTTAGAGGGAGGAACAATTCCTATAAATTCTCCCCTCCTACTGCAGACAATCACACTACACTCAACACTGTTCTTGAGGTGTCCTCTGAACCTCAGAGACAGAGTGTTTTCCAGATGGCATGAGATACTACAGTGGGAGATGGAGGCAGGAAAGTCCTGCTTTGTGAGGTCTACTTCACTTATTTAATAACAGGTAACATCTTTTTTCCCTCTCATGTGGTTTAAAGCATAAGGACAGCGGGACTACTTCCACAATTTACATTATGGATGAGGAGCTGAATTACTTCCACAGAGGTCATGCAACATGCCTGCAGCCAAAACATGGGCTCATTTGTTGATCTTAAGGAACAACCATGCTGAATCATAGAAGGCAAGTAACACTATTCACTTCAAGACACCCTTCCATTTTTAAACGAGTGAAATTTATATCATGGAGAATATTCAGTTGTAGCCCTGGCATATTATGAAAGAAAAAGGAAAGAGTGGCTTTGCATCTACTGTTAGCAATTGCCTCATCTCATATGCAAACCTCATATGCAATCTTAGATTATCTTGCAGCCCTGTTGTGCTAATGTCCTCTATAAATTCAGTATATATGGATTTTTCCAACATGCCATCATGCTTTATTGCACTAGCTCTGTAAAATATATGCTTTGCCCCAGTAAATGCCATTAACTATCCTTTAAATAGGATTTTATATGGATGTGGTAGCACTTTGAAGAACTAAAGGGAGGAAATACTGCAATAGTACAACTTGAATAGAATTACATCAGGGAAGTCTAGCCCAGAGCAATTTCATTTGAGGCCCTGGTCCAGTCAAAGGGGAGCTAAACACTCACACTGAAATCAGTGGCTGGAATCCATGGGCAAAATAGTTAAAGGCATGGTCCCACATATCCTGAGGCAAGCTAACAAACAACAATAATTATTGGGGACCTCCCAATGTCTTTCAAATAGAAATGCCCTAAACTGTTTGGTAGGTGGGCATTTGTGTGTCATCGCTTAAAAGTGTTATAGCAATCCTGAGCCTGCTTTGGTGGGGAGGGTGTGGAAGAAATTGAATAAATGAATGAATGAATAAATAAATAAGCATTCCAGTGTTTTAATGTATATATGGCTGCGGTCACACACACTAAATATTCCACTTCCAATGCACTTTCCAACTGGATTTTTGCCAGTTCACACAGTAAAAATCCAGTCGGAAAGTGCACTGAAAGTGGATTGAAAGTGGATTATTTAGTGTGTGTGACCAGGATCAGCCCTGGTTAGTATTTGGATGAGAGACCGCCAAGGAATGCCAAGGTCATTGTACAGAGACAGGCAATGGCAAACCACCTATGGACATCCCTTGCCTTAAAAACCTTACAGGTAAAGGTAACGGTAAAGGTTCTCTTGCTCGAAAGCCAGTCGAATCCGACTCTAGGGTTGCGGTGCTCATCTCCGTTTCAAAGCCGAAGAGCCAGCGCTGTCCAAAGACATTTCCGTGGTCATGTGGCCGGCATGACTAAACTCCAAGGTGCACGGAATGCTGTTACCTTCCCACTGAAGTGGTACCTATTTATCTACTTGCAATTTCTTGCTTTTGAACTGCTAGGTTGGCAGGAGCTGGAACTAGAGATGGGAGCTCACTCCGTCATGCGGCACACTCGAGTCTCGAACTGCTGAACTACCAACCTTCCACAGCCTGCAGGGTTGCCATAAATTGAATGTGACTTGACGGGGGGGGGGGGTCTTGTATGTATTTGTGTTGCCACTTTACTGCCAACTCTCTTCCTTTGAAATAAGGCAGAACTTTCTAATGCTGTGTGTGTGTGTGTGTGTGTGTGTGTGTGTGTGTGTGTGTAAGACCACTATCTAGACCTCTGTCTGTGCACAGATTTTTATGAAAAAAGGCAGTGGAGAAAATGAGAACAACTTTGCTTCCTAAAATGATTCTGATAAATCTATGAACTCTTTATTGCTGCTAGTATTGTCTGACTGAACTATTTATTTACTTTTATTTCCAAAAATGTATATCCCATCTTTCTGCCCTCAGGGGCCACCTGTTATGACATTTGTCACCCAAAGTTGTGACAGTATACAACTTAGAATGCTATTTGTCTGTTGTTATTTGAAACCTGAATTTATGTTATTCTTTTTTTCAAATAAAGCTTTGTTTTGTTTTATAATCTCCTTGTTTTAAACACAGTTTATTGAAGCACTGTCTTAAAGCCCTGCCAAGTGCTCAAAACAGGTGATTTTTGATATACTACAAAGAAGAAAATCTCATGAGCAAAATAAGAACCCCTTCTAACCTCAAGGAAATGAAGAAAAGGGATGGATGGTGGCAACTGAGGTGGGCCCAACATATACTCCGACTGGCTAAATTTGACCAGAAATACAAAAAGTCATCTTACAACAGTTCTGAGTAGTTCAGTGGACTCAAGAAGGTGCAGTCCTGTTTAGGATTGAACTATAAGCTTATGAACAAAATTCCTCTGCAGCTACATATTCTGGTGTGAGTTCACTTATGAAAGGAAGAAAATTACGTGCTTTCTTACAAGCTCATTCCGTTCCTCCGACAATAAAGCATTTCGGTCTTCCAGTTTCCTGATGATTGCACTTAGTTCAGCTATTTTCAGTTGGAAACGCCGGGCATCCCTTTCATCTAACTGCTGTTCCTAAAACAAAGAACAACTGCAAATAACTGTGCAACGAGAAAACATAGTTCAGAGTTCTTTATAACCCCCCATCTTCTTTCCTTTTCTTGGAATCCATCCATTTCTGACTCAGTACAAAAAGGATTTAATCTATGCCTTAATACTGAAAGATGAGACCAACAGAAATTTAAGAGAGGAGATGTGTAAGAGAGTAGGCAAATGCAAAAAAAGTATGCATATGCAAATACAAAGTCACAAATGTTGTATTTGGAAATGTGAAAGAAAACATTGGAAATTAACTGCAATGTTTCCTAAGTATGCCACTGTTGAACTAGAATGTTTTAGACAGGTCAGCCGCCTGTCACTTCCTCATGGTCATGTGGTATTTATAATTACGGAAATACACAATGTAGTCCGTATGTGCAATTCTACCATTGCACATGTTTCTTTCCCGTGGATCTAATTGAACATCTAAATGGTTCACTTGAACAATCATTGGATTGTGCTTTAATAAATCCACAAGTGAAAATGTTTAACGCAAACAGAAAATGAATACAGATATAAGAGAAGGCGTCTTCATGTTTAGAGTGAAAGTACAATTTCATTATATTAACATTTCCTTTACATTCATCTTGGGTTTTTTTCTCATTATGTTAATCTCTTTGGAAACACAGGGAAACAAATGAATAATCTTTGGCCCTAATGAAACTCAATTGTGCTGGGCTTCTTCATTCAACAGGTGCAGGAGAGGCTTGGAAGAAAGGATAGGAGAGATTTTTGTGTTTATGTTTTTGGAAAAATCTACATCTTAAATTAAGCAGAGCTACTACAAAAGAAATCTTGATGAGGATCAACAACAGTGAAAAGAAGTTTAACAAATGTCACAGGAACAGAAAATCTCTGTATATGTCTGGGTGCTTGAGGGCGAGAGACGGGCTCTCATGCCTGTATAAATGGTGAATTTATATTTAATGGCCTAAGAAACTGCATAGTATGGAGGAAATAGCAGACAGTCTGTTAGGTTCATCTCTCATTCACTTTTTTAGAGCACTGGCTAAAAGCAAAAGCATTGACATTACTCTGTGGGCATTAGTAAAGATGCCTAAGCACAGACTATGCTGAAATGAACATGTTACTTCTTCACTCCACCAGTAAAATCTGTTTTACACTTGCTCATGACAAATGGAAAAATATTCACATCCACCCATTAATCAGTTAGACATGCATTTGCAAGGGGAGTCTGCAGAGAGAAGAGCCCAAGCTGTCAAAATAAGGCAAATGTTTGAGATAAGTCAGGTTTACAAAGGGAGGGGGGTGACATTTTAACCTTACTAGCAAAAAGTAATGGAACCAAGAAACAAAGGCAATTTTTTCCTGGCCAAATTAGAGATTAAATCCCACTGGTTAACTCTGTATAACGATAGAAAGAAAAACCTCTTGCCAAAATGTGCACTCACTCATCAAGATTTTTGGCATATTTGTTTTAGGCAAAACCACTAGAAAGTGCTTACAGGACTTCCTGATTGTTCTGAAGTGTCTCCTGCACCACTTGCATGAGGAAGTTCCCGCTTGGGGCTGCTCAGATGCCGGTCAGCCTCTCTGAGCTGGGAAAGTTGTTCATCTAAAGCCTCCTTTTGGAGCTGAAGTCTCTGAGCATGCCCGGCTTGAACCCCTAACTCTCTTTCCAGCACGTAGACTGCTCTGTCTTTAAATTTGATCTCCTCCATCTACAAGGAGAACAAAATACAATCACATACACGCATGCATGTTACAGTTCTGCTGTTGCCATAGAAACTGGCAGCATCCCTGCTAGTTGAGCATCTTAGACGGTACCCCAAGGTAAAATGCATCATTTTCAGTTCTGCAGATTTCACACCCTCAGAAAACTGAAAAGCAGTGCCAGCTTTGGAAAATCAAAACACCAAAAAGATTATTTTGACCATTTGGAGCTGAATTTCTATATCTTGCTTATTATCCCTCACATTAACACACTTTAAGACTTGGTTAGGAAAAGAAAGAACATTTTTAACTAAAGTACTGTTTTGATCATGTTTTACATTTTCCAATCAAATGAAAGCCCCACCCCTCTGGAAAATTCCATGGCCTCTGAAAAAGGTCCAAAATTTGAGCATTAACGCTGAAAGGGTGGCTTGTGCATAAGTCTTGATTCTGTAGCTCAGGGCAGTAAAGGTTTCCGTTTGCTTAGTGACGGAGGTTCAGTTGCTCATCCACACCCAAAAATTAATCATGGAGAAAAACACCGATGTTAGTTTTTAAATAAAACACACAACATTGTTACGCTCTCAAGTTAAGATCACTATTTCAATTCCGCAAAAACATTAGGTCCTTATTTCCTATATATGCTAATACACGAATGTTAATGTCTTGGCCAATGTATTATATGAAAATAAACCCCACTGAATCAGCGAGTTTAATCCTGGTTAACAGTACACAGGACACTACTACTACTATGACGACTACTACTATGCACATATTACAGTATTTTTAAGAGCCCACAGTAGTTCATACCCATTCTACCATGTCAGTCCTAACAAAAACACTGTAAGGCATGGCAGTATTATTACAGCCATGTTTCAGAAGGGGTGCTGACCTGGATGGCCCCAGGCAGCCTGATCGCATCAGATCTTGGAAGCTAAGCAGCATGGTACTGGTTAGTACTTGGATGGGAGACCACAGAGGAAGTCCAGAATCTCTTGCAGAGGCAGATGGCAAATAACTTCTGAATGTCTCTTGCCTTGAAAACCTACAGGGTTGATTTAAGTCAACTGCGACATGACAGCACTTTCCACCACTACTGCAGAAGCGGTCTAAGGCTTAGACAATTCAGGCCAAAATCACATCCATTATAAACCATGGGAAGTTTGGAATGTGGTTGTGAATCAGTCTTTCTGCATGGCCCTAGAAACCTGATACAAACATGCATCTATTATTTATTAAAATATTTATATCCTAACATTTACTTTCCTTGTGGTTCAAGGTGGTATACAATAGCAGTTAGAAGCATTTTCAGTTAAAAGCAAAAATAAAACAGCCAACCCCAAATCTCTTTCCTCTCCCCTCCTTAGAAGATGCCTGCCATTCAAAGGCCTTGCAGCACCTCCTGAAGATCTCCAAAGAGGAGGCCTCTCACTTCTTCAGGGAGCCCATTCCACAGAACCACTGGCTATGAAGGGCTTTAAAGGTCATAACCAGCACCTTGAACTGAACTTAGAAACAGAATGAAAGCCAATGTAGCTGTTTCAAAATAGGCAACATATGTTCCTGGCAGCTACCCCCTGATATATTCAACGGCCTTTCTCTTTTTCACATGTGCTTGCATAAATTTAAAATTGCTTTTTTTGTTTTTGACATTCACAGTGGGAAAGAGGTTGAAAAGTATTTTAAGTGGCACGTTTAATTTAGTCCCATAGCAATGAAAAGAGAACGGAAATAAACTTTTCATAAACCCCAAATGCAACAAATTTAAATAAAGGTAAAGGTAAAGGTTTCCCTTGCTCGAAAGCTAGTCAAATCCGACTCTAGGGGCCAGTGCTCAGCTGTGGTCATGTGGCTGGCATGACTAAATACTGAGGTGCACGGAATGCTGTTACTTTCCCACCAAAGCGGTACCTATTTATCTACTTGCAATTTCTTGCTTTCGAAGTGCTAGGTTGGCAGGAGCTGGGGCCAGAAATGGGAACTCACTCTGTCATGCGGCACTAGGGTCTCAAACTGCTGATCTGTGTAGCACCAGAGGAATCTCTTGAAAATCGCAATACAAATTATCAACACCTCTTTCTTCCTGACAGGTACAGGGACTCAAAATGTTATGTTACTATGGTCTGGGTAATATATGGTGTTTGACAAGAAAAAAAATGTTTTGGCATCACAGGTGCTCTGTGGCTGAACTTAAAATCTGGGCACCAATATTACTTTTATATTGCTTTATTAACCACACATATACTAATGCATTGATCAACAATAATGTTAAAAACAGTAACAAAACACAGCAAAACCAAGAATCATATTAAAACATCACTGGTCATAAACATGTTTTTCAGATAAAGGTATTGGTCTAAATGTTCTGCCATGTTTGGGCAAACGATAGGGTTGCCACCCCCACCCCCAAACAGGGACATTGTCGTGTGACTTCCTTGATGCAATGTCACTTCCGGGTGACATCATCATGCCAGGGACATTGTGCAGCAATGCTCTGGTTTTTGCAAACTCTATGGTTTTGAAGGCAAAAAACCATAGAGTTTTGTCCCCCGAACCAGAGTATCACACGCGGTGTCCTGTCCACCCCAGAAGACCCGCCCCCCAACTGTCCCTGCTTTGATGGTGAGGGGACCTGGCAACCCTAGCAAACAGAGGGTTTTAAATTATCTGAACCCATTAATGAACATAGTTAATAAATCTCCCAGGGAAGCAGACTCCACTGCAGTGCTTCCCTAAGAGAACTGTCCTGTACTTGTGGAGTAACTGATTAAAATCCAGTCTAAAAGCTGAACGTTCACTAAAAATCAATGGAAACTCTAATGCTGAGTTCAGTCTTTCAGAACTTTGGATACATCCAAATTATAATATGAAGTCTGAAAATGGTCCCATGTGAGAATCTGAGAATTCCCCCTCAAATTAATTTTTAAATGCCCTGAAGTGGGTACTGTCTTTAAAATCTGCTGAATACTTGTGGTGAAAATATGTATTTCTTGCTTAAAGCAATGCTTTCTTTTTATTTATATTGACTTCTTGTGTATTATGAGAACAAATTTTCCTGTCAGTGGGTACATGTAGGGAAAAAAAAAGTTACAGAGAACACCAGAAGGCAACCACAATGTTAGGGCAGCAGCTATTCTGAGATAAATTGACCAGCTTTAAGTACCGATAGTTTGTTCTGGCCCTTGGTCTCATCTAGAATCCATTTTACAAAGTTTGCAATAAGATATTCTACATATTGTAGAAGCAAAAAAGGGGGAGGGAATCACTCATATAAAAACTTATGGAACTTCGTTGTTTAAACAGAATACAGCAAGAACTAGATAATATGGAAACGAAGAATTGAGTTTGCTGTATTGCAAGAGGAAAAGAGAAGACAGACTGCCATGATTTCTTCCTATGGCAACAGAAGAGGCGAGAGAAGTATTGACAGCACTGCAGATGAGAAAAAAATACAAAAATACAAATAAAATCAGTGGCATGCTGATACAAATTACTAAGATTGTTTCAAGGCATAGGGTGTTTACCAGAATATAAAGATAAATCCACAGATACTGTCTATAATTCATTCACCTCAGAAGACTAAGAGAGTAATCCTAGGGATCATGCTCAGATCCTACTCAGATTTATTCTACAGTGCTTACTCCAAGGAAAGTGTTCTTAAAATCACACTGCCAGTAGCATTAAAGGATAAAGTTGAAAGGGAACTGAGCAGTGTGTGAAAATCAAGGTAGAAGAACCTACAGATTGGGTCGATCCAACAGATGCTGGGGAAAGCCTTGCAGAGTCCAGACAAGATTAGGAACAAGAGAATATTTTGAGTTGCCTACTGTAAAAGAAATCATGATACAATGTAAAAAAGAGAGCAATATGGTGCTAAATATTTGGTGCCAGTACTGAATTTTGGCAAATTCATCTGGATGAGAAAAAAGAGTTTCTGCCTTTGTATACCTCTTCAGGTCCAGAGGTGTAACAAAGGGTGACCCAAGAGATTGGGGTGTGGGTGTCTTGATGGTGCCATGAGCTGGTGTGGAGAAAGACCAGCAAGCATGATGAGAAGCTGGAGAGTTACTTCTTTGACTCTAAAGGGAACTTGTATCTTCTTCTGGTTAATTACTAATCACAATATACTGAAATATGTTTACTTGAGGACACCATAAGCAAATCAGTAAAAGTACATTACAATATTGTGTGGTACACCAGAAGAGAAATGAGTGATGCTCCACAATTTTGTTCCAGAAACAACAAAATATTTTTCTAAAGAATGGGCCTTTGTTTAGACATATTAGGTACGTTCAGACGGGGCATTTATACCGGCAGGGGTCTTTTCGACCCGGAGCCCTCCAGAGTACCGCTCCGACAGCCTGCGTGGCGGCAAGCCCCGCCCCTGGGTCCCTGAGCCCCGCCCCCGGGTCCCCCAAGCCGCGCAGGAGCACTGCGGCTCGGGGGAGGCCGGGAGAGCCCCGTCCCTGGGTCCCTCGAAGCCGCGAGAGAGCGCTGCAGCTCGGGGGAGGCCTGGAGAGCCCCGGGGCC